CTGATTTGACTCTTTCTTTAAAAGAGCAAAGAGAAGAATGCTTGCATTCACTTAAAAGACTATCTTAGACTGCTAACAGATTGAACCTTTAAAGTGTAATTTTAAAATGGAAATGTTAGTATAGTATCCCTTTACTGCAAAGGGTTTCTAGGAAGAGTTGGTTTGGATTTCTTCACTTTTCATCTTGACATTGATGCTTTTATCAATTTAAACACACTAACATTAAACCACTAGGAGGCATGTAGGTTTCAATAAAATTCATTTTTTATATCTTCAGCCCATATAACCAAATGAGCTGCTTTCACTTTTTTTTAAGCAGAAAAGATAATAAAGTTAAATGAAAAGTCCCAGAGTTTAGTTTTAAGACTAAATGGTATTTTAGATGAAATAGTTAAAGAAAGCTGAGTTTGTAACTGTGAGATAAAGATAATGGCTTAAATCTATCTTTACATTATGAGGATTCTCTTAGAACTCCATAATTGATATACACACTTCCACTTCTCGCTGCCGTGAGCTGCAATGAGCTGCCTGTGAGTCAAACCAGGGACACTGTTCTGAAAAAAGCACTCGATGAAGGCTAGGAGTAGGAGTATCCTCCCCAGCTGTACCACTAGCATGCTGGGAGACTGTGGACAAGTTGTTTCTGTATTTCTGCTCTCCAGCCTGCAAACTGAAGACAGTAATGTTCACTTTTAATGCAAGACATGTTGATTTCTAAGTAAGAGATCCTGTAAGTATGCCTACCACTTTGCCAGTTCAAATGTTTTCTTGAAATAGCTTGTGTTACATGAGAGAAAATTAAGAACAGAAAGTAGAACCAGACAGAAATTACTGTAAATAAGTTTACTTGAAGGTCTTGTAATGAAGAAAGGGAAGTACCCACATAACCGCAGAAGGGATAAAATAGTGATTAAAGCAGTAAAGCAAAATGTTGCACACCTAAGTGCTCAATAGACAATAAACACCAGAAAAGAAACATACAGCAGAAATAAAGACAGAGTGATGAAGACATTAAAAAAGCATCATATAAGGCCAGGAAGGTATAATGCAAGAAAATGTGTGCATTTATATACATGCATGTGCGTGCATGCATACTCACAGTCATGCAGAAAGAGAAAGAGAAGTATGTAACAGCCTCTAGGTTGGAAAGAAACTTCAGGAGTCACATTCTGTTGGTGGTATTTCACTGCTTCACCTATCCAATACAATGCGATTCACAAATGAATTAGGGCTTTGGAGAGGGAAAATTAAGACTGATTCTAGCTTCCACATATAAAGGGTACTGCTTGTTCTAACATTCACTGCAGTATGTAATTACTGCTTGTTCTAATATTCACAGCAATATGTAATTATAAATACATATAATTAGGTGACTTAGATTATCACAAAATGACTCCAGTGCTGCTCTCTGCATGACTTGGCTATTCAATGTAAACCAGAAGTGAGTGACCCTGAGGATTCAGAAACTATTGTAAGAAGTTATATTTGAGACAAGGAAAAAACAGTTATGAATTTGGCTAATTATTCTAGAAGACAGATATTCAAATAACAAGGTGGGTTTCTTCCAGATTTGTGTCTCAGTTGACTGTCAACTCCAGCTGCATGTTTTCTAGTGGTAAAGGCATCTCTAAGGCCTTTTCTCAAACTGAATTTTCCAACAACTAGCAAAATCTAAACTAAGTTTGCAGCCTTCTCTCCAGTGGTGGCACTGAGTGTCTATCTCGCCTTCGCTCTCACTCAGGTGACCTCTGAGAAAGCTGTTGAACATGATTATCTTTCACTACTTTATTCCAACATCAAATGCTATTTGGGTGAACAGGAAGGGAGAAGACGAGGAGGACAGAGGTGTAGAGCCATGGAAAGTAAATTACACAAACTTAAATTCCTTTGGAACAAAGTACTGCCTCCATGCATTCATGTGAGCTCAAAAAACTCCATGACATAGAGCTTCTGTAGAGGTGACCGATAGATCAGAGCAGAAATTTTATCCATTCAGTGTATCAGGTAAGTGATAACTTACTCTCTAGCCAACAGGGAAACATCTGTTTCATATACCTCACTCCTTACAGCTGAATTTAATCCAGATAAACTATGTCACAGGATTGTATATACATTGCATGTAATTCATTTCCTAGCTTAATATATTGCTACCCAGAAAGAGCAGCAAACACAGCATGATTGTAGTATCAATATATATTTTTTTTTAAAGATACTAAAGAGAGATTTTCCTTGTTTAGTAACTTCAACTATAAATCATAGGAAAACAGATTTGTACTGTCTCTCATACTCCTCTTTGACAAGTGCTGTGGATAAACCAGACAAAGTGGGTAAAAATCAAAGCTGGAGACATAAATATTTTCCCTGGAACTAGGAAGACATATTCCAGCTAGTGAATACTCTCAGTTAAAAGGAAAGCTTTTATGATACTTCTTTCCAGAAGGGAAAACACCGTCATAGTGACATGCAAATTTGTACTTTTGGACAAAAATCCCAATGCAGATGAAAAACCCCTTCTCTAGTCACTTCTAGATTTCAGACCCTGGACCTTCCTTTCTTCTCAATTGTATGTACTTCCTGGGTGACCACAGAATTCAATGGTAGCTTTCTGCTCTGAAGAAATTTGCATTCTCCTCAAACATTTTAGATCTACGGCTTGAACAGTCTGTTTTCTCACCACTTGACATTTTGTATGCCAGCACATTACCTGTGCAATTGCAGGTATTTAAAGAGGCTGGAGTTTCAGAGGGGCCAAAAGGCTGCATCTATAAACTAAGGCCAGTATATGTTGTAAGCACTCAGAATCTGTGGTACCTGGAGACCAGCCATCAAGCTAAGTATTGCATTATAAAGACATCCAGAACAATTACCAAGCCTTCCACTAATGAATGATACCTAATACTTTGAAAATAGGGCAAACTGGAACCCAAACTAGTTATTTATACAATTGTGATACAGTTTTCAGCTCCATTTGCTTAAGTTTCTCATACTTGTCTATGTTGAATGAACAACTTCTTGGGAATTCCTTATGTCAGAAGACAAAGGATACCAAAGCCAGAAGTGCGTGCTTTGCCAGTGTGTGTGAATCAGCTCATAGCTTCTCACTAAGGTTTTATGAAAGAGACATTGCAAGTAAGAAGCAGCTGGGGCTGAACAAACACAGTACTTAACTTTAGAAAACATATCTGTGCTACGTCTTGCACCTCTGAAAAACTCCTGATTGTATTTAAAGCACATCTTACATCTAACTGAACTGAAATCTTATGTTTAGTGCATTGGCATGAACTATGCAATTACTGCAATTACACTTTGGCTTGTACTTGACAAAATATCAAGGATTATAATGCAGTATCCTTTAGCCAACTTAACAGGGCTTTACCTAGGAGAGTGATCAAGGAATTCAAAGTTTTACAAACAGGCTACTTATAGTTGAAACACATCTGTAGCTGTCATGTTCCCATTGCTCTTATTTTAATCACACATTGATTATTCATTATAAAACCTCTTGTGATACCTTAAAAAAGAATCCCTCTGTAGCAATTGCTGGGATTTGATAATGAACCAAATCCAGGAAACACTCAGGTTCCCCTTCATTCTAAGGGTAATTCTGTTAAGAGGGAAGCACCTTACTCGCCAAAGTCAAAACAAATCCTAAGCATAGGTCACCTGTTCTAATGGCAACCATTATCCTTTGTGTCCCAGTTGGGAAGCTACCCCTCTGTGCTCATGAAATGATAAATTATAGGGGGCAAAAAGCTACCATATAAAGGGGTTCCTGACTCACAGCCAGACAGATAAGAGAAGTATATAGAGAAACCCCTCTCTGTCTATACTAACTGGGGAAAAAAACCCTGATGAACAACAGCCTATATTGAGGGTGGCAAGAGGAGACACAGTTGCAGATGGGCATTGTGCAACAGCACTCTGAAATGTCCCATATTTGCTTCAGAAGATAATGACATTTCAAAATGGCTGAAGCAAAACCAGGTTAATTTTTTATGAGCCTGAAGTGAGGAGAGTAAAGAAAGAGGGAGTGGTATTTGCATTTCCATCTCTTGCTGGTTTGTTGGAGTACAGTGAGCTCAGGAAGTCAGGCAACTTTCCTATCCTGATACCATGAAAATGGAAAAGGAGGAGGTTTACACATCTCCTTCCATCATATGCTGCTGCTTTCATTTTCTTACATGTCTATTGCCCTCACTATTGGTAAGAGTATGTAGCAGCTGTTTCTTCTTAGTTCCTTTCACCTATAGGTACAGAGTGGAAGAGAGAACTCGGCCCTTATGAACGACTGCTTGATGGGGAGGAAAGGACATCAATCCCAAGAGCACATCTGCCACGAACTCATTCTGTTGGAAGTACCCAAGGAATTTTAACTTCATGTCTCAAAGAGACAAAAAAATAGTGGGCTTCCAAAACCAAATTATGGAATGGGAGGGGGAACATTGCCTCCATTGCCTTTCGAATGAAATGAGCAGCTGGTAACTCCATATGGCTCTTTTTAAGTTTAGTACACAGCTTGCTCTGCAAAGGTTCCTTTTGATTCCAGGGGAACTTTCTGCAGAAGGAGGTATGGCTTACCATATGTAATGTTGGCAGGATGATTGCCTCCCCCCTCAACTCACCTTTGGGAAGGGAGAGGAAGGAGATGAACATCAAGGCTCAGTGTGCCAAAACTTGAAATTATATTTCCATGCCAAAGTGGGACTCTTGCTTTGAACACCAGCCACAACAGCTCTTCTGCACTTTGGGTAGTTCATTAACAAAAATCAATACAAGCTGCCTTTTGAGAGAGCCAGCCCTTGTTCATTGACACACTGTGTAATTCCTCTTAGCAGAAGCATCAATGCTTACAAGGTGTGCAGTAAATTATGGCAAAACCACAGAATGGCAAGGCTACAGGAAAGAGTTTCATTTCAGTACAGACTTAAAAAATAAACCAAAATACGTGGAGAGGAAGAGTAATTACTAAGAACTAGAGACAAAAGATGTTTTGTCTTTACCTGGAGACCCTTGTTCTCTATCTTTTTTTGGAGTATCTGAAGGCACTTGGTGAAATCTGTGAGGTCCTGATCCATCGTCTCAATTAATTCACATCCCTGTGAAGAAGCAGAAAAATGGAGAGGAAAACCCCCAGTGTCAGTCATCTTTCAATTACAAGAACTAATATTGTCTTTGGTGACATTAACTGCTGTCAACGTGTCTTAAAGTCTCTGCATTGAGATAAAGAATTAAGTAAAAGAATATTACCCTTAGAGAGCCCAAAGACCTAAGTCCCAACTGAACACATTATTATGAAACAATGGTTTAATAGGCACAGAGGTAGATATTCAAAACCCATCGAGTATGTTTGTGAGTTTGGATGACCATGTTGTACAATGCTCTGCTGGATGGACATGTTTTGTTATAGTGAGCCCCAGGTGATCAGTAACTTCCAAGATCAGGAAAATAACTGTCCTCTGGTGCTGCAGTTACTACATTTCTGCTACATATATTCAAATGTATATAAACATAAGCATACCAAAGTGTTCAGGCATCCCAGAACCAGTGCAGTTCCACTAGTTAATCTGCAGTGATACAATTTCCTTACAGTGGGGTAACATGGATGAAAGCATGCTAAAGTGGAGAAAAGCAGGAGTTCAGTTTTCTTAATTGAGAGCTAAAGTAATTCCTAAGTCTCTGATAAAAAGCTGAATAAGGAAAAGTGGAGTATATCTGCCAGATAAAGTCACTATCCAAAGAGATTTCAAGGATATAAAATCCCCAATACAGCATCGTAAATTAAGAACCATACATGCTAGATTTAGAGGTTCCCCCTCCTACAACTTCAGGGTCCCCTTAAAAGCCTCCTAGCTTTGCCTTTATCTGACAGATTTTATGTTTCTGCTACACACAGTAACAACTGATAAGAGACAAGCATTCATACTACAGAATCTTTGTATGTGTGTATAAAGTACATTCTTCTGTTAGATCAGAAAAACATCCCAACATATTAAAGTTGCCTCTACCTTAGTGGTAAAAGTAAAGTACAGAAGACTGATTTCCCCAGCCAGTGCATGGATGGAGTTTAGTGGATTGCATACAACAAAATAATGAGCCTCCAATAGGAAGACACTATAATTGAAATGCTTCCCTGCACAGCCAGAATGAACATAAAACCAAGCAACACAGTAGGGGATTTGGATGAAGTGGAAGAGATAAGGGAGGAGATAACAAAAAGCTTTTTATTATACTACTTCTCCTCCCTCCTCAGAACCTTCAGAAAGGGAAACTGGTCAAAAGCAGTAGCCTTTCTGATACCTGATACTGCTCTAAATACCTTTTCAAGCAGTAATAACAGGCTGGCCAAGGTGAAGCATCATATAGCAGTAACAGCTTATATGATCAAAGACCTCCCTTGATGAAGTGAAGCTGCTGCCACCATGAAAAAGCTAGGGAAGATGCAGCTAGAGCCTAGACCCAGTGGTAAGCATCGAACAATTTGAAAAGCTGCCATGTCTCCTTTCACCAGGAAAGGCCAAAGCATAACACAGGTAGGGGGAGAAGGAACACAAGCCATCTGGAGTCAGTAATGAACAGTGAGTTGAACACCAGCCAGACACCAAAGGAGCCCAGGAAAGATATAGGGATGTTCGGGCCCACCCAGAAAGTTCACAGTTGGTTCTGAGAACTAGAGAAGGGAATTTGTTAATTAAAGCCACTCTAAATGAAAAGATGTCTCATTCGCTAAGAACAGGGTGCTCACACAGTCTTGTTATTGGCATTGACAGCGGTAAGAGAGACCAAGCTATGAGAAACTGTGGACAGACAGAACCTCCCCAGTCTTTCACAATCAGCCTTTGAACAGCATGAGAACGTGACAGACAAAGACTAAATCAATGGCAGGGACAGCTACTGCTGAGCTTGGGAGAAAAGGCAGAACCTGCGCTCTTAAATTAGCAGGAGAGAAGGAAGATCTTTTATCTTTTGCCAGGGTCATAGCTTGGCTTCACAGCACTGGTAGAAGTGGTTTATAGATACCGATTTATAAATGAAAGATTTAACCCTCACTCTCCCCCAGCACTTTGAAATACTTCCTGCAGTCATTAACAAACTGGAACTCCTCCTTGGACAGTCAGGGTTTGGTAGCTACAGGTAGGCTGCAGTTCTTCCTTCCACCCAGGGAAGACCAAATTGGCTTTTTATATATGTATTTTTAAAGTGCTGACCTAGAACAACTTCAATTATTATTTATTATTTTATGCTTTCTACTGTTAAAAGCATTTCACTGGAAGTTAGTTCTTGACTAGCTTCTCAGGACATTCTTTTATAAGAAAAATGCTTCAGAGCAACTGCAAGGCAAGGTAATGTCAGCATGGTGGCTGCAGAGCACTGATTGTGACTAACTCCAGCTCCAGAAGAACTCCATGATGCAGCACACATGGACATCCTACTTTCAGACCTGGTACTGTATCCCGAAACTGTTCACTCACTGCACCTCTGATACTTTATACAAGTACTGCTGTAGATCACACTGAAAAACGTTGACCAAGTGTCACCACTTCCTTCAAATTAAACTAATTTCTTATTCTCGTTCCACATCAAGCAGATAACCAGCTCTGGAATTAGCAGAGACTCCTTTTGCCACAGTGGCAAAGAGACTAGCATGGTCAGGCTGTGCTGGGGAAGAAGACAGGCAGCAGCACTTGCATCTTCCTGCATCCTTTTTACAGCAAGCTGCAGTTAATGTCTGTGCACTTCATGTTCACTGATGGTAAGAGAGTTTATGATAAATCTGATGCTCCTGGCGTATCAAACATAATACTTTATACCACAGAACTGGACAACAGTTCAAATGCAGTTCTTGTCAACCTTCACCATATTACTCCTGAATGACAAAAACCTACAAGGCAGAGCTTTCCGATGCAGCTAGGGTTTAACAAAAGGACAGTACAACTACTGCAAGGTAGGCAGTAAGGCTTGTAGTTTTTACAGCTACCTGCTCAACTTAATAACATTAACCTTTGGTAAGAAAGTTAAAAAGCCAAACAAATTTAACTTTAAGAAAGGTTAGAAAACTCAATACCACACAGCAGGAAAGAAAACAATACAGTGCTTCTGATGACAGTATAACTTTTGCTGAGTGACAGGATGAGACACACAGATTTAGGCTTTGGCTGTTCTGTCTTATTATAGCAGTTATGGAAGGCACATCGCTAAAGGAGGAGTGTGCCAGACACACATAATAGGATTATTGAACCCTATATTTCAGACAGACACACAAATCAGACAGGCACTGAAATGTCAATCTGAACATCTCAGCATTTCTCCCATTTTTAGAAATATTAAGCATCACAGCATGTGTATTTGAGGAAAGCAGTGTGTAGGTGTCCATTCCCCCATGTCCTTATTAATCTTTTTTTAAAAGAAAGTCATGTTTGTTCTTTCTCTATTCTTTCTGAGCATAAGAGTATAATTAGGACAGAATACATAAAATACTCTAATTTGTACCCTATCTCCAAAACTCTCTTAATGGCAAGCCATTCAAATCTATCTTTGGAAGCCTGTGTCTGGCTGTGCTCACTAAGTTGCACCAGTGATGTCCCGATCAGGCTTTTAACAATTCCTGTTGCACTGAGGCTCAATTTTGAGGTATCAGTCTCAACACATGCTCTTATGTATAGTGTTAATGACAGACACACGATAACCATATATCCTCAAGTTAGAAGAAGGGATACAGCTTAAAGAGCCTTTCAAAACACAGCATAAGTAGAATTTAAGGAACCTATATAAATTAAATGGTATTTCTACACATTCTCCTTCCCCTAGACCACACCTGCTCTCTCACCTGCCCAAACCTAGTCAGTCCAATACCCCACAGAGCAACTGAGTAAGAGCCATAGATTCACAGAACTATTTCAGTTGGAGGGGACTTTTCAAAGTCACCTGTTCCAACCCCTCATTCAAGAGCAGGTTAGATGTACATAGGTTGCTCAAGGCCCTTTTCAGTCTAGGTTGAGCATCTCCCAGAATGGAGATTCCACAACTTCTCTGGGCAACCACTTTCAGTGCCTCACCCCTCTGGTATCCTCTTTCACTTTTACCCACTCAGACAATGACAAACTTAAACACTCTTCATATACTAGCTGCATTCACCTGAATGTTTTGAACCCCAAAACCATTTTCATACCCAAATATGCAGGCAAATACATTCTGAGCTGGACTCAATGCAACTGATAATGAAAACCAGCTGTAGGAAAAAGCATACATGGATCCAAGCAAAGTGCTGCTCTAGACCAGGCACCAATGAGCAGAAAGGGACTACAGGGTCTGACTGCAGGTTTTGGACCAAGACTAGCGAAGAAGATGAACATGTGGATGCGCAATCAAGTTTAACAGAAGACAGACATCATGTTCTATTACTTCATCTATAATAGAAGAGTGATGTTATAAGACCAGACATTCAAGCAGTGTCAGAAACTAAAAAACCCAACTAGTTTGGGAAACATTTTCTGCAGAGATGGCAGTCACCCAGACAGTGGTTGTCTGTATTGCTGACCCAGTGTTTCACAGCTGACCTGAAACATTTCCCAGAATAGAAACCAGGACTAGCATGGGATAAAGATGAAGCAGGCAAGAATGTCACATGAAGTTTTTGAAAACATTTAACAGAGACAGGACTGGAGAAAGAATAAGAACATACAGCTTGAGCTATAGCTTGGGAGTGGGATGCAAGTATAGAAGGCAAAGCAGTTCACCGATTTCTTTTGGGAATTTCAGATACTGCTGAACAACAAGTATTGAACAGCTTCTCTTCTGATCAGCTTAATTGTATGAATTGCCTTTTGATTTCTGCAGTAGAGAACAAAACAAATATGTGTAATTGGTGAAAATGATTTTGGATATTTAAATAGCCAAAAATACATAATTAAGTGAAATGCATTTTCTTTCAGTATTTGGATTCAATTTTGGCTTGGCATCAGCACAAAGCTCATACTGTACAGATTGCTTGGCCTTCAGTTCTGGGTGGATGATGTTTTCACTTGTCCAATCGCACATTAAGTGGCACTGCCACTTAGATTAACTAAAATAATTTATTAGTATAGTTGAAGCATATGCA